GCTCATGCATTGACATTTTTCATATATATATAGGTTTGTATTTGTACACATACATGTAAAACACAATAAATACATACTCCACAATGATACAGCAACAAAACGAATGCGAGGTTTGTTGGTAAGGAAAGAAACAAAAACAAAGGCAGTACTGGAAAAGCACCAGGCAGCATTCAGGAATGAGAAACTGCAAGGGGCTCAGTCCTTCCCCAGGACAAGGCACTGGGCATTTTAATGACAAAGATGTGAAGGAAAAGGGGATGAGTAAAGAGGCTGCTGGGGTCACTTGCTCTTATTTAATTCCCTTCATGGGGGACTAGCCTCAGGATCAGAAATCTCTCATCTTGCCCAGTTGGCCAAACCTGGAGCTAAAGGCAGCTTTGGAGCAAGGCTCAGGATTGAGGGCAGCTGACTCATTCTGCAGCTTAGTTCTGTGGTTGGGCAGGAGGGGGTGGGGTGAGAGAGGGGAAAGATGGTCATCCAGAGAGAACAGCAAAAGAATGGACTGAGGAGAAGGGCAATTGAGTCAAAACCCAAAACTTCTGGATGCAATTGTTTTTTAGATCATCTACATCAGCTCAATCATTTTGATTGCTGAACCAACATTCCCAACACATGTTCCCTTCCCTCACTTCAAGCATGCATTATGTTATTGCCCTCTATTTAGGGAATCAGGAGATTGGGGAAAGGGGGGAGAAGAAGGAAAATACAACAGATATAGGAATTTCCAGAGTGTACTATCTTGAAATGCAACTTCAACAGAACACCTGACAAGGTTATCCCCTGCAATGGAAAGCTAATCCATTTGGGAGAGACCAGGTCTCCTTACTTCTCTGATCCCCAGTCCAGCGGACTTAATCACTTGGACATAATGCTGACCTAATTTCAGAGCCCCTTCCGCCCATTGTCCTCATTCCTTTTTAAACAAATGAAACTGCTCCGACTAATATTAATGGCGACAACATCCCCTTTAGTCGGTCCTTGATAGATGACAAAGCCAGTGGCCAACTCACCCATCTATCAGTATTGAAGGCCCAAGATGGTGAAAATCAGTTCATTCTCCTTGGGACTTCTACACCTTTCTGGGTGTGTGGGGAACAAAAAACCAAATTCCAGACTGTGGAGTAGCCATGCCCCTATAAATCTACAGATATCTTATTTCACTGCTCCTTATACTCTGAGGGAAAAAAAATAAGTATGAAAGAAACATGACATTTTGAGTTGTGGACTTTAAAAAAGTTGGGGAAGGGTTACCCTAGTAGGATATCCAATGTAAAAATATAGAACGTAAGAGCTTCAGTACTTTCATTTTATGTGTCAGGAAACTGAGGCCCAGGGAAGTAAGGTGATTTCCACACATTCAAGAAGTGGCAAGGCTGGGGTATCAAACCCTGGTTTCCTAGCTCTAAGCCAAGCATGAATTCCAGTGCAGCCCTTAAATCTCATAGCTTTTAAAGTTAGAAGGAAAAATGTGTGCGTGTATGTGTGTGTGTGTGTGTGTGTGTCTCCTTAATCAACGACAGGAGGGAATAGAAGCAGGATTGCTAGCCAGGACTTCTGAAATATATGAAGAGGCAGTTTGGTACAGTGGAAAAGCAGTAGTTCTGCAGTCCGAAGTCCTGGGTTCAAACCCTACCTCTGATTACCACCTGTGTGACTTTGGACAAATTAATCAATTTCTCTAAGCCTCAGTTTCCTCACTTACAAATTGGAGAGGTTGGTCCAGCTCTCAGGTTCTTTTCAACTCTAAACCTATCATTATGGGGTATTATTTAGCTAAGAGAAGAATGTTTTATGTGCAACTTTTTAAGGAAGCAGAATGATATAGTGAAAGGGATAGGACAGGACAACAGGAGCCTTGGGTTCTAATTCTGACTCTGCCATTCAATTACCTAAGTGATTTTGGGCAAGTCATTTTCCTTTCCTATTGCTCAATTTCTTGATCTTGAACTTGGAAGGGGATCTTTTCAGTAATAAGATTTCATGACTAGGATACAGCTATATCTTTTTTTCTCCTGATCTCTGCAAACAGCTTTACCACCTCCTTAACCTTTTTGCCCCATGCCTATTCAAAAACACTGAGCAGATCACAGAAGTAACATTAGACCTCAAAGAAATCTGGACTGGAAGTTGACAGAGCTGAGTTCCAGTGTCAGTCATGATACTAAAAAGTTTTACAACCTTGGGTAAATTACTTCTTTTGCTTAAGTCTCAGTTTTTTTCCTCTGTAAAATGAAAGGGTAAAGCCAAATGAACTTAAAGGTCCCTGCCAGCTCTAACAGTCTATGATCCCACCTTATGAGAGATCCCACTTGGCTTAAGCCCTGCTGAACAGCAATCTAGAACACAGCCACTGGTTAGAACCTTATGCTACAATTTTGTAATAAGATCCAGGGTAAGTCAGTACAATAAACTCAGATCAAGGCTCTCCAGGACTCAGGCTCTGGGTACATACACAAATGAATACAAAAAGCCCCATTCACTGAGACAAGATCTTTTTTTTTCCTATTATACTTAGACCAGAGCAAGACAGAGATAAAAAAGAATCCAATAAGTCAATCATGGGTCTTTCAAAAATGCCTAGCTCTGTGGTTTCTTACATCACCTGCAATCAAAATTAACTCAGAAAGTAAGATTTTAAAGGGAGTGACATTTCCATTCTGAAAGCAGGAAAAAAAATTGACTTTTCTCTTTGCAATTCAATAATTTTCTGGCCCAACATCAAGCACTGCATCCTACAAAACAGGGGATGGGTGTCACCATTTTGTACAGAGATGCCTTAATCACTCAGATATGAGCAGGCAGGAAAATATTCTCATCAAGTCATCAGGGGAAGAGAGTGATTTCTGCTCCAATAATGGAAGCCAAGGATAAAAGTACCACATTCCTGAGAGGCATCATAATACAGTAGAAAGAGCATGGGGTATGGAATCAGAGATCCCAGACCAAAATCCCATCTCTACCACTTACTACCTGTGAGCATTGAACAACTCACTTATCCTCTCTGGGCCTCAGTCTCCTCATCTGTGAAAGGAGGGGGGTTATACTAGTTGGCCTCTTAGATCTCTTCCAGGTCTGGGTTGATGGTGCTATATCTGCCTTCTTCACTGCTAGCAACATTCCAAAAGGTCAAGTACACCAAATGGAGGGTTGTCTCCTACAGAGTGGAGAAATGAATTGATCTGAGCACTTAGAGAAAAATAATCACTACAAGGCAGCTAAGGTCCATTAAGAGCAAGTCAGGTCAGACTAACCTCATTGCCCTGTTGAATAACCAAAGTTATTCAACTGGTAGTTCAGTGGAAGATCATAGACAATGATAATTTCTTGTCTAGTGTTTATATAGTGCTGCAAGTTTTGCTTTGCTCCTTATATCTATTATCTCATTGGGTCAATCAAGGGCATTTGGCAAAGTGTCTTGTGATATCCTTGAGACAAGGTAGAAAGATGGTGGCTGAGAGTCAACTATCTGGCAACCTGGGTGGAGACTGAGCCCAAAAAATGATGGTTGGCAGACCATGGAGATCTTCTTGGCCCTATATTTAACAATTTTTATCAGTGACCTGAATGAAGGCACAAATGTTATATTTCAAATTTTCATATGGTATCAAGTAGAAGGGAATAGAAAATACATTGGATCCAAAAAGATCCTGATAAGCTTGAACAATGGGCCAAATTAATTAATAGAAAATTTCACAGTGATAAATGTAAAATCCTACACTTGGGTTCAAAAATTCATTTGCATAAGTATATACGATGGCTAGACAATAGCTTACATGGAAAAAAAGATGTGAGTGTTTTTGTTTATATCACAAACTCAATGAGTCAAGAGTGTGACATGACAACCAAAAAAAAATTAATGTAATCTTCTACCATATTAAGGGAAATACAGTGCTTGGAACAAGATAGGTGATACTTTCACTTTGCTCTAGTCAGATTTTATCTGGAGTATTGTTATTTATAAGTGTTACATTTTAGGAATCACATTGACAGCTTGGACTACACCCAGGGAAGAGTGACTAGAGTGGTAAAGGCACTCAAAATCATGCCATAGAAAGATTTGGTTGAAGTAACTGGGAATGGTTAAAATGAAGAAAAAGTGGGGAAAGAGAAGGAATGAACCACAGAACTAGAAGCAATGGGCAGCGAGTATAAAGAGAAAGCTTTAAGTTCAATTCAAGGGAAGAACTCCTATTACTTAGAGCTGCCTAAAAATGAAATTGGCTGGATTAGGAGGTAGTGAGTTCTCCATTTCTGGATGTCTTCAAGTAGGGGCTGAAAAACCACGTGTTGTGGATGTTATAGAAGGAATTTGAGCTTGGGTATGGTTTGGATTAAATAACCTGTGAAGTTCCTTCCAAACGGCATTCTATGATCTTCAAGAGTCATTGGGGAGGTCACCTCAGGGAACTCATCTTGAGCTTGGAGCTAACAGGACTAGCCCAGTTCCCTCAGTCGGGGAATTCTGCATCTAGCCTATAAATGCACAGGTGCTTTAATGAAGTCACCCTCACAATTTTAGTCTATGGTAGCAGAATTCCCTATGTTTCCTCCCATAAAATAATTGGAGATGAAATCTTTGGTATTATCCCACAGTTCTTAACTGGGCAGGGGCACAGGCTATGATGGGGCAAATCAGCAGAGCAATGGGGAGCAGAGTTTTAAATAAAATGGAAGGGCAGCCTACTTCCCTAGGTATCACTGCAAGCAGCCAGAAGGGGATCAGCAATTGCTGGGGTTGTCCAGGTTTAGTAGATGTCCCAGTAGCCTTGGGGGTTCTAGCCCCAGTTTACCAGGGAATTTAGAGATATGGAAAGAGACCTCCCCTAGCTTCTTTGTAAGAGGTTCAGATCCATGGTATGGAACTTTACATATAATATCAGGTTTTTTTTTTTTTTTTAATATTGATCTATTTTACTGCCTTTTTTCTCTTTCTCTTTTCCTTTATTTAAAAAAAAAACAACACCATTATACAGGATGGCTCTTTGGGAAAAGGAGGAAGAACATTCATAGGACAAAGTCTAAGCAATGTAAAAACAAAATATAACATACAAATCTTTTTTTTTAAGCCATTGCTTATTTCCTCTCCATCTACAAAGACTTTGACTCTATTGGCACTGGGACAGAAGTTAAGACCCAAGAATTGAGTCATGTTGGATTTTATCTCTGACTTTTTAACTAAGAGAACCATCCTACCTTTAGTTATTTCTGTTTCCTGTACCTGCACCAGAGGCATCCCAGGAGCCATTCTTTGGGGTTTCCTTGGCTAAAATGTTCATTTCTGTGTTTTTCTTAATTAGGAAATACACACTGCTTCTACATCCTGTCTTCAAAGAGGCACTCACAGGCTACCAAAAAGGACCCTGAATTTCTACCATTTGAAAATATCTCCCTACCATTATGGTGAGTTTCCAAGGATTTTCCTAATTATAGAATGTCACTTGGAATTTTGAAACAAAGAGAATAATAGAGTAATGTGCCTTTCCCTCTCTCTCTTCCTGGTGACAACCATCTCTTTCAAAACAGGCTGGGATTTAAGCACTTTTTTCACTCAGGCCCCACAGAATCTATTTACCCAAAGGTAAGCATTCCACCTAGCCCTGAAACCTAGGAAAAGAGGGATGGGAGGTCCTGCCACAGGTGAATGTCTCAAAGAAATGGAGCTCCTGAAGAAGTCTAAGGTGATTCCAAGGAGACTTCTCAATCCTACCAAATTTTCCATTTTGGATCTACTGCAGCAAGAGGCTGGAACTCCTGATGTAATGGCTTTAGGTCAGTGACCAAAATGTATAGGATGCTACAGTTAGGCTCCTCAGCAGAGAGGGTGAATTGTTTCAATCTTGATGATTCTCATTGGAAACAGCAGAACATTTCCAGTAGGATTTCAATTTATTTTTAAAAAATTGAATGTACTGTAGTAGCCCAGGGACTCACAGTATATGTCAGTGGTGGGGAGGGAAAGGGGAGAAAAGAAGCTAATAATCCTAGTCAACTTGGACATTCACCTGCCCAATGGCAATGGACTGTACCAGACGCTTTCTAGAGGTCTCTTCTAATTCTGTTTTCAGTTAACTGAAAAGTAGCTCAAAGTTCTTGCTTTCCCCACTGAAGTAAGCTTTCTTCCCTTGGCATGAGTCTGTGACAGACACGGGAGCAATGCTTTATCAATGACTTTCTACCTTCCACCCAGAGAATCACCAAATCACAGGTTTAGAGCTGGAAGGGACCACAGAGGTCATCTTGTCCAATCCCCTCCTTTTATAGAGTAGGAAACTGAGGCACAGAGAGGCTAAGGGACCTGCCAAGGCAGAGTAGTTTTGTAGGGGTAGTCATAAATCAGAGAAACCCAAACCCCATCAAACCAAAGAAATATTAAAAATTATGCCCTTTGATTTCATTTTAAAAGGTCATACCCAAAATCCATCAGAGGCTGACCTAGATCTTGGGAACAAAGGCAAGTCAGATGATCCTTACTTCTCTAAGGAGGCAGGGAAGAAAGGATTCTTTTTAGAGATATGAGGGACTAACCAGCTCTCTCCCTTTCAAACCTACAGAGGAAAAAAATCTGAGCAATAGTTCCAGAACATTTTTTCTTCACATTTCCAGATGAATAGAAAGAGGTTTAATACAGTTCAAGGCAATTCCAAAAGTGTTGTGAGCTTTAAATTCAGTCTGGGCTGTTATACCTATGATGTCAAATCACCTGTTTTCTCTCATTCTGTACCAAGAGCAGATGGGGCTGTCAGCCAAGTATACTTGGACTTCACTGGGTGCTATCTTCTGTAATATTGTATGTACCTGAGGTTTGAGCTGTGCAATTACCTTGGCAGACAAAACTGTGTTAGAGTAATTTATGGTCTCTCTGGTATCCATAAATCCTAATTCAACCTCAAGCTAAAATCTAATGAGTGTCACAGTGAGGTTTCAATATGGTTATTCAAACTGTTGATGGATTCAGGTTGTTTCTCCAATTCTAGTCCTGTCTCCTAACCCAACTTTGTAAAAAAAAAAATCAAAGTGAGCTCTGCTTTCTGCTTCTCACCAGTAATGGGGGGAAACCAATTGGTGTAAGTCATTTTTTGCAAAGACCCTTACTGACAATCTGCAAGGGGAGGGAGGGATAAGAAGCAGAGAGTAAGTGGAAAGGGGACTGTGTCATCCAGAAAAGCTATACTCTTCCCTACAGAATAAGGTTTGGTGATGCTTTCTCATTCAAACACTATAGTCTGAAAGGTGGCTGCCCAGCCTCCAAGCATTATCATGCTTGATAATCCCCTTATACCCATCTACTGCACACACACACACACACACACACACACACTCTGCTCATCCTTTTCATCTAGAGAAAACTGACATATGTGGAGATATGAGACTGCAGGACCACATGGTGCCAGAATTGGGTATCAGGAAGGTCTTTCATGCCAGCAGCAAACACAGCTAGCCATTGAGTGCAGCCTGATCTTACAACATCATGTGACTGGGAGGGAAAGTTGGGATGGATGCATATGTGGGGTGTAGAGCCGCGTGTAGAGAAAAGTGATGCAGACAGAAGGCAGGGAAGGTTTAAAAAAAAAAAAGCCTTCTACTTTTCACAGTAAATGCAAAAGAGGCAGATAAACCACATAGGAATTTCCACCTTGAGCTCAGTCAGCTAGCACTACTGGCTGCTGACCAGACAAGTGCAGCCCAGAAGACTCTGAATCCTCATGTGGTTAGTTCATGCCCACAAAGAATCCTGTTTGGGGTCCACTCCCCACAAACCCTTAGGTTTTCTTTTTTTTTGCAGCAAAGAAGGGGTTTCATTTCCTCCACTCCCCCAAAAGCATTCAGCTTCATTCTTTCTCCACCTCCCCAATGTCACTGCCATCCCCAAATTTCCTATGGCCACCATTGTCCCTAACCCATGCTAGCAATACAGAGACATCCTGCTCCTGCGCATGGCCTCGCTGATCAGGTAGGCAGGGCTCAGCTCTGGCTCCTCAGTCATGATGGTGATGTTCTGCCACTCCCCTGTTTGGCTGGACCGTTTGATGGTGTCTACCACACAGAGGGCATAGAGGCAGTCATCAAAGGTGGCGGCCATGGTGAGGGGCCGCCCGTCCCAGGTCCGTCGGTCTTCCTGGTCCTGGAAGGCCTGCCGTACTGCCTGCATCATCTTGATGGTGCCCCGTAGGTACGGGGAGGGGATGTCACTGAAGGCTTTCTCTGGCAGCAGGGAATTGCTGACAGGAGTAGCATCTTGAAGCAGGAGTTCCTGCTGCGGGGCACTGTTCTGCTGGCCATAGAGATCTGTGCCAGCTGCCATCAGCCGCCCAGCAGAACCCACCACGATTATGTCCTGCTTGAATTCCCCCGGCACGTTAAAATTGAGGGTTACAGTACAGCACACACCACCCTCCAACAACATCTGGAAGGTGCAGAAGTCATCGCTGGTGATCTGGCGGATGCCCTTGATGTGGTCTGTCTGCTTCACGAAGGTCTTGAGCAGCCCATGAACTTTCACTGCCTTCTGGCTGGTGAGGAAGGTCAGGAGATCAATGATGTAAGTGCCCACAGAGTGAAGACCCCCGCCTCCCATCAGGTCATCACAACTCCAGTTGTACTTCTTGCCCAGGAGGCTCCCACTGTGCACCTGAACCTCACATACCAGCAGGTCCCCTACGTAGCCTTCCTGGATGAGCTGCTTCATACGCACAAAGGCAGGCAGGAAGCGCAGGACGTTGCCCATGATGCTCATGAGTTTGGGGTAGTAGTGGGCAGCCGACATCATCCGGAAGGCATCCAGGGGTGTAGCTGTTCGGTCACAGATGACATTCTTCCCAATACCTTTAAGGAGGAAAAGAGAATGTAAGAGGTCAGACTTGTACCGGGAGATGAGAAGTACTATTAGCACTGTTACCCCTGAAATTAATGTTGGGCTTGGGAGAATGACTCAGGTGACTGTAAGATATTTTCATGAGTATAAAAGGACAAATGTAAAGAGGACATTTTTAGAGGATTTCATCTCCCGTGCCATCTCTTCAACGTTGACTTGACAATTCTAGTGAGTGCCCGTCAATGGTTTTTTAGAATCCTTTTGAAGTCCTTCATAGCTGGTGAGGAATCACTTACTCTATAGGTCAGGGTATCAGGTGCTATCACTGCTAACAGTCTCCTCATCCCCTTAAATGTGATTGGGAGGAGGTAGGATGGAATATTTTTGGCTAATCATGAGAAATCAACTTTTCCCAAGTTTGGGAACTTCTTCCATCCATAGAACACAATACTTCTTTAACTCCATAGGTAAGTCTTGGAGAGCAGCCTGAGGCCGGCTAAATGATTTGCTAGTGATAACATAGCTAGTAAGCGCCAGAAGTGGGATTCAATTACGGGTCTCAAAATCCATCATTCTACCCATTTATGTAATGCTGTGAAGCAATCTGGAATAGTGGATGGAGAGTTGACTTTGAAATCATAGAGGCTTGAGTTCAAGCCTTTGACACATACTGTCTATGTGACCCTGGTTGAGTCACTTAACCGCTAAGTTGCACTTAGGCAACTCTCTAAGACTATATGTTTTTGACAAGGTGCTGACCTGCATTGTTATAAATATTTTTTGTTGTTGTTGTTTTTTTGGTGAGGCAATCAGGGTTAAGTGACTTGCTCAGGGTCACACAACTAGTAAATGTCAAATGTCTGAAGCCAGATTTGAACTCAGGTCCTCCTGACTCCAAGACTGGCGCTCTATCTACTACACCACCTAGCTGCCCCATGACCTGCATCATTAAAGTTAGTTTTTTTCTCCTGGGAGTTCCCTATACCAATAAAATCACAGGTCCAGACCTTATCCTGTTCCTGTGTGATACTACCTCATGAATACATGCATAAGACATATGTTTATTACATAGTAGTTAAGGGTATATTATTAAACCATAAAAGATAAATAAATATTGGCTATTTGAACCCAAGGATTTCGTTAGGAGGCAGATGACACTAGCAAGGGCCTTCAACTGGGATCCACTAATTTGTTCTTTAAAAATATTTTTATAACTGTATTCCAATACATTTGTTTTCCTTTGTAATCCCATGAATTTTAGTTATTTAAAAACATTCTTGGAGCAGAGAGGTGGCGCTGGTGTCAGGAGGACCTGAGTTCAAATCTGGCCTCAGATACTAGCTGTGTGACCCTGGGCAAGTCACTTAATTTCCAATTGCCTCTAAAACAAAAAACAAAAACAAATCCCCCCAAAAAGTCTTCTAAGAAAGGGTCTGTAGGCTTTACTAGACTGCCAAAGGGGTCCAGGACAGACACAGAAAAAGCTAAGAGTGCCTACTTTAAGGAAAGAAAAAGTAATTTTAGTCCAATAGAGGTTAGGGACCAGAAGAATTCAACCAGTAGCTCAGTATGAACTGGGAAAAGAAGACACTCTAAAGAGAAAAAGAGAAAATGGGCACCTGCCATGCACAAGAAACTATGCTGAGCTACAGGGATACAGAGGTCAAATGAAAAATTGTCTTGGCTCTCAAAGAGTTAACATTCTTCTAGACTTTTCAGGAAATTAGCCAGGAAAATTCTAGGTCAATCAGGGTCAGAGAACCAGCATGGTATAGTATAGGATTTGAAGTCCATGGGCTTGTTTTTATATATATATATATATATATATTTTGATAACTGTATTTCAATATAATTGCTTTCTTTTGTAATCCTCTGCATTTTATTTTATGCATCCAAAAACATTTTGAGAAATGGTTAGGAATCCCTGGTATAGGGGAAACAGTGCTGGAGCCAAAGGACTTGAGTGCAAATGTCTGTTCTAATGGCTGCATACTGCAGATGCAAGTCATTTCATCTCTCTGAGCCTCAGTTTCCTCATTTGTGAAATGATGGGGTTGAATTTCATATTCCCTAAGATTCTTTCCAACTCTAAAATTCTAGGTCTGGAGTTAGATTCTATGAGGTCAGTAAGTCTTATCTCTAGACTTCTGTATTTGCTGTAGTTACCTGAAATTGACTATCTACCCCTTCATCAATCTTCCTATCTATAGTGAAACAGAACTCTAGAAGACAGACCTGAGAGTCATGACACATTCCTAGGAAAAAAATGAGTACAAGATACCCGGGGGGGGGGGGGACAGGGAGGGAGGTAGGCAGGGGGTAGGAAGAGGCTATGTTGCTGAGACAGGCCTCAAGAAAGAACCCCAAGGAGCAGCTAGATGGCGCAGTGGATAGAGCACCGGTCCTGAAGTCAAGAGGAACTGAGTTCAAATCCATCCTCAGACCAAACACTTGCCACTTACTAGCTGTGTGATCCTGGGCAAGTCACTTAACCCCAATTGCCTAAAAAAAAAAAATAAATCTTTAAAAAAAAAAAACAGAAAGAACCCCAAGTCTTTAGGTTGTTGCAGGAAAGGCAGGGATCCAGTTGTGCCAAACACCAATGCCATTAAATTAATCAGCCTCTAGTGTCAGAGTACATGGCTAAGTTCTGAATGATAGGTTATTGCATTGCAACTCTATTGCATTGAGTTTTTATTATAGTTTGCAGGACATGATTTAACTTGCAAGCATGTCCAAATCCAAATAAAAGCTATGCAATAACAAGGTCCTTTCTGTTAAATATTTTTCAAATGTGGATTCCAGCAGAGCGTATTTCCTTTAGATGAAAATTGCCCATACAAAATGGCAGCCTGGTCAATTACATTATGTTCTCCCTGGCATAGCATCAAGACTCAAGAAGCATTTCTCAATAGATTAATATATAGCTATGTGTATTCATACATATATAATATATACACACAGATATAATACATACATATATATATGCACACACATATATGTATAATAGAAGATTGGATCTTCTTTTGCTTATGTCTCCCCAATATCCATAATATTTACAAAGGTAAAGCAATAAGGGTATTATTTTTATGTATGTTTGTTTATATAGCTTTATATACATACACATATACATCCCATATGTATATCCATATGGGCATTACAGTATATATGTGTATTTATGTAGTTCTATATACCTACACATTTATAAATTAATGGCCTGCTTTATTTTTATAATTCTGACCCTGGAATAAAATGACTGCCAACAGCTGGTAAGAGAATACATCTCCTATCCTATTCCATATAAGTCAAGCTGATTCTGCACCCCTGGCATCCACGAATCCAAAAGCAACAACTGGTCAAATTAAACCTTGGGGCTCCTTTAACTCAGAGCAACAGAGTCAGAACGTGACAGAAGGAACCAGGAGTGGGCTGGCAGGCCTTTGGTTTATATTAATATTAAGATTTTGTGCCTCCCTCAAACATTAGACTTTTCTAACGTGGTGATAGAATCCTTAGAATCTTTTAACATAGCTTCATGCACTCAGAGGCAAATTTATCTATAAACAAGTTAATAAGTCATTGCATATTAGCTTACTCATGACTAGCTGGTATTCCCAAAAGCAACATAAGACCTGTTGGATACACACAGTGGCCTACTCCAGTTAGGACCCCAGAACTAGGACCTTTAGTAGGTACTTTCTCAACATAATCTATTCAAGCTAAACTAATTTACACTTGCAACTCTGCTGTGTAATGGCATTTTTAAAAAAAAATCATTGCAATCTACATAATCTACTCCCCATTTGGTATAATTGCCAGTGTATTGGATTTGAAGTCAGGAGTCCAAAGATCTAGTTCTGGCTTTTCTACTAATTAGCTATATGATCTTGGGAAAGTCACTTGATTTCTCTACGTCTAAGAATCTTCATCTGTAAAATGGGTTGTGGGGGTGGAGGAGAAAGGATTGGAACGACTAGAGTTCTAGCCCTCAATTTCTGTACTTTTAGATTAGTGACTCATTGAGGGTGACTATTGGCTTCTCCATTACTTATGTATCCCTGGTATCCACAGCACCTACAAAGGTAAAAAGTATTATTACGCTCCGCACCCAGCAGTATTGTTGTCCAAGAATTGCCTCCCTGTGACTCTGTTATCACTCTCCTGCAAAATTCATGCTTTCCCAATGGATATGAAGGATCTGGAGAAGTATGGGAAGATACATAAATTAATACAGAGAAAAGCAAACAGAATCCGGGAAACAATATACGGAGTGATAACAACGATATGGCAGAAATAACAATGAAATGAAACCGAAAGCTGTAAATTAATAATAATGAATAGGCTTGGTTATAGAGAAGAATGGAGAAAATGCATCTTCCTCCCTTCATTACAAAGATGGTAGACTATGAGAGTGGAATATTGCATATACTGTCAAACATAGTCAATGTGTTAGTTGGTTTTGCCAAACTATGTTTTTCTGTTTCTTTTTAAATCTTTGTTACAATGTTATCTATGTATGTGTGTATGAAATCTATGACTTCTAGACTAGTACAAGATCTATTTTTCAATATATTATCTTCAAAATCCAAAAGATTTTTTTCGCAGGGTTTGGCACCTTAAAACAACAGGTAAGGGGTAAGGAAGTCAGTCACAAAACCAGTACCTTCCCTTCATCTATGTTCCATCTCATCTTGAGAAATAATGAAGACTATAGTCCTGGCACCTAAGTATCAGAGTGAAAACCACCAGAGTTTTCACTAAATGCACCTGCCTTTTGGACTCTGAAGAAAGGAAAAGTGGAAGAAGGAGGCTCCAAACACGCATTCTGAAGACACTATGTGAAATCTTTAGTGAAATCTGTTGGTAGAAAGAGGCTCTCTTCAAGTTTAAAAAAAAAAATCCAATACTTATCACTAGCTATTCATGTTGGAACCTGCTCTAGGAATACTATAAACTAGGTGAAACTTGGATTTGAGACCATCAGATTCCAGCTGGCCATTCCTTCCTTCCA